AGTAGGGGCCACTCCTTATTTGTTGGTGTATGGCACGGAGGCAGTAATACCCGCAGAAATTGAAATCCTATCCCTTCGGATTGTCGCTGAGGCAGAAATTGATGACGCCGAATGGGTCAAAACCCGCTTGGAGCAATTAAGTCTGATTGATGAAAAGAGATTGGCAGCAGTGTGTCACGGCCAATTGTACCAACAGAGAATGGCGAGAGCATATAACAAGAAGGTACGTCCACAGAAGTTCGAAGTTGGTTAGTTAGTGTTGAGACGTATCTTGCCTCATCAAGCTGAAGCAAAAGGAAAGTTCACCCCAAACTGGCAGGGGCCATTTGTCGTAACTAGAGTGTTGTCTAATGGCATGTTATATTTGACAGATATAGAAGGGAAATGTGTAGAAATGGCTATCAATTCTGATGCAGTCAAGAGATACTATGTATAATTTCTTTGTCTGATTATACTTGTTTGTATTTGGCATATTTTGAAGATTGAAATGACGAAGGCGTTTTGTTCTGCTATCTAAACACTTTATCCCTCGTCACCCCTTTTGAGCCTTATTTATTTTCTTTCTTACCCCTCTTTCGGAATCAGTAGTGAATATCAGAAACACAAGCGTGAAAGATAAGAAAAGTAAGAAAAGAGAAAGAGAAAGAAAAGAATGAAAAAAAAGAAGAAAAAGAAAGAGGAAAAGAGAAAAGAAGAAGAAGAAAAACAATAAAAAGAAAAAAAGAGAAAAGCAAAAGAGAAAAAAAAAGAAGAAGAAAGAGAAAAGAAAAAATCACAAGAACAAAGTAATTTCTATGACATGAACTACGTTCGACCTGATTCCTTTTAAGGATACGTAGGCAGCCTCACGGTTTGGTCTCATCAAACAAAAATCCGAAAGTCTCCAAGCAAGAAACTGGGGCAGAAGTTGTGATTGTTGTGAGAAACCTGATTCCGGAAGTTGTAATTCTAACCCATTTGAATTGTTTTGAGCCTTTTATACCTTTTCTTTCCAACCCTGTCCAAAAGCCCACATTACGGTCCAAAGAAAGACCTTCTAATCAGTCTTTGAGAAATGCCAAGTCGAGCATGTAAAGGTAATTCATGTCAAGGGCAACACTCTAGTTCAAACATGAAAAATAAAAATGAGAGAGTCTTATTGGTGAAAACCTTCACAGGCACCGTAAGGCGATGGGAGTTGAGAGAAATTAAAATGAGAGAGTCTTATTGGTGAAAACCCTCATGGGCACCTTGAGGCAAAAGTGAGTAGAAAAGTCAACAAGTGAGAAAGGTTTGTTGGTGGAAAACTGTTTCAAGGCACCGCAGGATGAACAAGATCAAGGTTTGGGTAAAGTAGTCAGGTTATGGAAATTCTGAGGCAACAAAGTACGACAACTAAAAGTTGATTGGTTGGACAAATTGGGCCGATTAATCCGAAATGCATGTCATGATCATTGGTACCAGCTATTTCACTCAGATAAGTTTCTTTTTCTTTTTCCCCTTGTAGCAGCCATCTAGTTTTGGATTTTCTAATCCTTAACCCGCAAAGTCATTGCATTTCATTTTCTTTTGGGTTTATTTGTCTAAGATGTTTTAATGTTAGTCTTGTTCAAAGCAAGTGAAAAAGAATTTCAAAGCTCACTACCAACTCCCAAAATTGCAAAGCATGGTTTGGTCAGCGTACCAAAGACAACATGTTGTAAGGTGGGATATAGAGGATCACCAGAAGTTTCATCGGTGGAATGGTTTGGTAATGTCATGGGAGATGCAAAGGTTCAGATAAAGCGGTCAGAGGCAAAACAACAGCATGGGTATAGAACACTCGATTCGTCAAAGGTCATGAGGGTTTTGAAAGTCAGTCAGAAAGTCAAAGCGGTTCAGGGCCAGTTTGGGGAAGCTAGTCAAAGCAAAACAATGCGGTGGAAAGATATTCAGCAAGAATGCCATCATCTAACCACCATTTTAAACTGACAAAATTTTCTTTGATTGAAACAGGGGCAGAAAAATTCGTTTGTTTCAGAGAAACTCTCCGTGGGGGAAAGAGCAAGCACCAAAATAGGTTTGACCGTAAACTTTCAGGACCCTCCTGAAAAATGTGGCTTAGTTATAATTCAAAATAATCATGAATAGCATAATTTAGCATAAATATATCCCAAAGGGATATAAGTTGGTTTCAATGTTTGCATGTTCAAGATAGGATTCAATTAGGAGTCTTCAGAACCTTTCTGGATAATAGGATGTAGTTTAAAACCCTCTTAGATAACAGGACTTAGCGGAAGTAATACCTTTAGGAGATACAGCTTAGATCTATAATTGTCAGTTGTCAGGACCTTCCTGGATAATAGGATTTAGCTTTCAAATTCTTAGTAACAATTGGTAGAATGATTCAGTTTAACACTCACCCATGTGCCCGGCTACCAAACTGGGGCAGAAAAAATTCTTTGTTTTATCTATTGTTGAAGTCAGGAGCCTGCCTGGATAACAGGGAATGCATTTCAAGTTGAAGTTAGGAGCCCGCCTGGAGAGCAGGGAATACTTTCAAATGCAGCATTCAGGAGCCCGCCTGGAGAGTAGGGAATACATTCAAGCGTAGCAGTCAGGATCCTGCCTGGAGAACAAGGGAGTACAATTTAAATTTTAGCTTTCAAATACTTTGATTTGTCTGTGTTGAAGTCAGGAGCCCTCCTGGAGAGCAGGGAATACATTTCAAGTTGAAGTCAGGAGCCCTCCTGGAGAGCAGGGAATACATTTCAAGTTGAAGTCAGGAGCCCGCCTGGATAGCAGGGAAAACTTTCAAATGCAGCAGTCAGGAGCCCGCCTGGAAAGAAGGGAATACATTCAAGCATAGCAATCAGGAGCCCACCTGGAGAACAAGGGAGTACAATTTAAATTTTAGCTTTCAAATTCTTTGTTTTGTCTGTGTTGAAGTCAGGAGCCTACCTGGAGAGTAGGGAATACATTTCAAGTGCAGCAATTAGGAGCCCGCTTGGAGAGCAGGGAATACATTTCAAGTGCAGCAATTAGGAGCCCGCTTGGAGAGCAGGGAATACATTTCAAGTTCAGCAATCAGGAGCCCACTTAGAGAGCAGGGAATACATTCAAGTGTAGCAGTCAGGAGCCCGCCTGGAGAACAAGGGAGTACAATTTAAATTTTAGCTTTAAAATTCTTTGTTTTGTCTGTGTTGAAGTCAGGAGCCCACCTGGAAAGCAGGGAATGCATTTCAAGTTGAAGTCAGGAGCCCGCCTGGAAAGCAGGGAATATTTTCAAGTTTAGCAGTCAGGAACCCGCCTGCAGAACAAGGGAGTACAATTCAAGTTTGGATTTTCAAAATCCTTATTAATATTCAGCAATGTGGTTCGTTTTACACTTACACGTGGGCCCATATACCCAAACTGGGGCAGAAAATTTTCTTTGTTTTTATCTATTTTGCTGAAGTCAGGAGCCCGCCTGGATAGCATGGGAATACATTCACGTTGTGAAGTCAGGAGCCCACCTGGATAGCATAGGAATACATATCAAGTTCAACAGTCAGGCATCCACCTGGAGAAAGGGAAACATCTCAGTTTACAATTCAAGGCGGCAACGAAGGAATTTTACCAAGAGAATACAAGACAACAAGGCAACAAGAAACACAAGATCAAGTTTGAAGATCTAGATAGGATTTTGTAAAGCATAGATCATAGTCTAGTCTAGCTTATTTTATTTTTGACATGGTGTAATAAGGGGTTCAGTAAGCAGCAGCAGTAGCAGCAATAGTGAAATCACAGCTTCATGGTAGTCCCAGCTACCAGACATTCCCGAATTATACTGACCTGATTCCTTTTTAGCCAAGGATATGTAGGCAACCTCGGAATTAGGGTGCGGTCAAATCTTTCAAAAATGCTTCCCACGGAGTACTCAAACGGGCAAAAATCGCTCATATCCGCTCACTTTATCTTTGCACAAAAACTTTTCGTGTTTCCGGGCAAAGAGGGGAAGCTATGAGCACGTGATTTTTGCCCTATATGAATTATTCCAACAAATTCAAAACAAAATAATTTCTTTTAGTGTTATCAATTTTGAGGATTTCGTGGCATTTTCTGTTAATTATTTGCATTGGTCTGTGCATTCCATTTTGTTTAATTAATGAAAATACAAAAAATATGTTGCATTTGCATTTAGGATTTAATTTTTGCATTTTTGAATTAATTAGTAATTTGGTGTTTTATAAAATTGGAAAAAAATCACAAAATAGTTCATTTTGGCACTTTAATTTTAATTTTTTGAATTTTGGTAGTTTTTCTTTACTTTGGCATTTAATTAGTGGTGGTAATTACTATTTAGAATTAATTAATTCAATTTGATCAGATAATTTGATTAGGAATTAATTTAGGTTTTATTCTTAATTTTAATTTTATTTAAAAGAAATTAAAGGAAAAATTGAAAAAAAAAAAGAAAAGAAGAAAAACAAAAAATGAGATTAGATTTTTGGGCCATTTTTCGTTTTAATTCACTCAGCCCAAATTGTTCCCAGTCAAAACCAGGCCCAAACCACTCTCCTGCCCGGTCCAAATTAGCTGGTCTCTCAGACCATCCAAACGACGTAGTATAAGGCCAATACTACGTCGTTTTGAGTTTCTGAGGACAAATCAATCTGTTCCTTTCATTCATCTTCATCGGACGGCCAGCAAAGCCTCACCATAATCACATAAGAAGGTTCGAGATACCTTACAGACCATTCAGTTCACAACTCCCCTGCACTTCATCTCCTCCATCTCAAAAACCTAATCTGCCATTATCACCGGCGGTCCAGCTCCCAAACACTACCAAAAATCAACACTACACTCCCCATAACCTTCCAAGTACCATGACGGTATTAATTTCTACAAAACCTCCACGAATCATTCTCAATCTCGGATCTAGGGATAAAATACTCAGTCTGTTCTAGTCGTTGAACTCATCACACAAGAGCCTGGGTTCATGTTCTCCCATTGTTGAAGATAATTTGGGCCTGAAACGAGTGTTAGTCGGTTGTTCTCACAAGAACAGTCGTTTAACACTCATTTTTGGTTTAAATCAGAAGAGCTTGGACTGAGTCGTCCGTCACCGACTTTAGGTATTTCTATTTCCCTTGGGTCTTTTATCTATCTATCCATTCTTTTCTATGTCTTCTTCTCCATTTCTGTCAAAAATGAAGTTTGCTAGCTTTCTTGTTTGTGCTTAACCACAGGGTTGTAAATTGCCAAATACCGTTAAACGGCTTAGCATGAATCTAGTTTTGTTAGGCCTTTAAGTTCATGTAATTCCTCACTGAACCATTGTTGGTCCATCTGTTTAATTTGGTTACAACTCCGTGGTCTAGCTTGAGTTAGTCCTTTATGATTGTTTTGATTTTATTGGGTCAAACAATTGCTATTTTCTTCTTCTTCCTCTAAATTTGGATATGTGTCAGGCCTTGGTTAACTTGGGGCTTGCATTGCACGCAACCATGCCTACTAGTTAAAGCCCAAAAAGGTTTGTGAGGGGGTTTGGATTAGTCAGTCGTTTAACGGGTTCCAAGTCTCAGCTAGGGGTAGAGGTAATTAGTAGGTGTTTAAGGGGTAGTTCAGATTTTTTTTAATTTAGGGAATCTTTCTGTAACAGAACAGGAAGCTTCTAGGAAGCTGGGGAAGGGGGTGGTTCTGAATTTCTATTTTTTTAATAAGGGTATCTAAGCTATAATAAAAATTCAAAAGGGGAAAATGTGCAAAGATTGATATCTAAAAACTGCCCTAATGAATAAAGGTGTGATGACTTGCTATTCAAGTCAGATTTTAGAAGGGGTTAAAAAATTTCAGAAAATAGAGGAACTGCTGGTTTCACTAAGTTTTTTTGAAGATCTCTTTGGATTTCTGAAGCAATTTTCTGATTCACATAGATTTGACCTGGTTTGAGGTTAATTTCTCGGAATTTTTGGGTCTAAAGTCACTGTTCTATTGAGTATTATCAATTCTGGGGTTTTCAAATTCCTTAATTTGGGGCTGTATTCTAGCTGGTGTTGCTGTTCATCTGCTGAATATGATTCTGTTGTGCTAATCCCAATTTTACTCTTATTTTGCTTTCTAGGTATCTCTCTAGCCCATGAACAACGAGTGAATGTTGAATATGTGTTTCGAGTGTAAATCTGGTTAAGCACAAGCTGTATTTGATCAAGTTCCTCCTGTTTCTCTTACTGTTTCAATGTCTACGAGTCTTGTGGATGAATAATTAAACGTGTATATAGGTTTAAATGAAGGACTCATAGCTGGATCAGTTGATCCAGAGTATACGTGTTTTTTGCTAACAGCTCGTTCCTCTGACAAGTAAAGTTTATAGCTATGACTAACAAGCATACCCTGTATTTTGCATTTTGCTTTTAATTGAGTGTAGAATGCCTGAGAACTGTATTTAAAGCTTAGTGTGATTTCTGGAATTTATGTATAATTGGATCTTAAACTATTGGTTTTGGTGCTGTCCTCCTGAGTAAAAATGGGAAATCAGTATAAGTATTAGATTTAGCAAAGAAATTGAATTAGTGTGATCCATGTGAATTTGTTGAGAACCAATGTTTACTTTATGCTGAATATAGTAGCCTGGAAGCTGTGTGCTGATTTGATTTCTTTGAGATAACTAACTAATTAGTTTTACACTCTATTATTCAATGTAGGAAATCGAAAACTTAGTTAGTAATCAGGTATCGGAATTAAGTGTTAGCTTCACTTCCTAATTTCATATAGTTATGGTTGATTGGTATCTAATGGACCCTACACAAAGCATTGGTTCTAAAAATTGGGCTAACATCTGGCCCAGTTATGGTGTTCAGGCATGCAGAGTTAGTTTGTATGCTCCTGGGCGTCCCTATTTGGTAAGGTTGGACTCGTCTGACCCCAAGCCCAAACCTTGAAGTATTTCAGACGGGTCTAGCCAGTGGTTGTTCGTTAGGGTAATTCGCCTTTGAATTATTTAGCCTTTAACACAATTTTATTAGTAATAAGTATGATCAAACTCTTAGTTTCGAAATAATTAGAGTTCCCTCAGAGTTGTCCCTTAATTGTTGAATCCCTAAAAATGGAATTGAGGTGCGTCGCGCCCTACAAAATCTCAAATGCACGGCCCTCGCTTAATTGTATCTTTTAAAAATGCCTAGGACTCGAGGCGTGCCATTTAGAAAATTTCTATGGCCCTCACAAAGTTAAAAACGCATAGTTGCTTAGGCACGTATCTTAATAATATTTACCTTCCTAAATTCGGGTGCGCATTTATGTGACCCAAATCCAAATCTCAACGATGTTAAAATATGTCAAAAACTACGGGTGCATTTATGTGAAGTGATTCAAGACGTGTTTTAATTACGTTGCAATCTTCTGTAAAAAATGAATAAAAGCGGTTTAAAGTTAAAATTTGCATATAGGTTCATAATTGTTTAAAATCAGATAATTAAGTCGAATTGTAACAGTGGAGCGACCGTGCTAGAACTACGGAACTCGGGAATGCCTAACACCTTCTCTCGGGTTAACAGAATTCCTTACTCGGATTTCTGGTTCGCGGACTGTTAAACAGAGTCAAACTTTTCCTCGACCCGGGATTTGAACCGGTGACTTGGGACACCATAAATCTCCCAAGTGGAGACTCTGAATGATTAAATAAATGAATCACATTTCGATTGTCACTTTAAGTTGGAAAAAACTCCCCACTATACCTTCTTCCGGGGGTGTAGGTAAAAAGGAGGTGTGACAGGATTGATGTGAGGTTTTTTTTGGTTGCGAACTAGACTCGTAGACCTTCGATTCGATAGGTTGTGGGTCCCATAACTCTTTATATCTTGGGAGAAATGATCTGATACATTTGACCAAAACTTTAGAAAATTTATTAGAGAAATTTACGATAACTTTTGCCGACCTTTATTTCGCAACTTTCTTGATTCCAAAACGTAACATGTGACCAGTGTGATATTATAATACCTCATAACACATTATTCTTAGCATATTAGACACTCTTGGTCTTATCACACATGTGTAAATTAACTTAAACCTTCCGAATGCACGGGGTGCCACCCGAGCCATTTCTTTAACCACGAACCTTTGTTTAAGGGATTCTTTTGACCAACAACTTTAGTTTAGTTCCTTGATATTACCACACATTTTCATTCTTATTCTCCCAATGTGCTACACCCAATCATATATACCTAATATAACCACGCCACGTTATGTATATTACGTAAGAGAAAAAGAAAAAAACATGGGGTCTCACAGTCTCCCCCCCTTAAGAACATTCGTCCGCGAATGGGTCAAGTCAATTCCTTGGTTTCATTTCTTTTCCGCTAATACGTTATTTGCAAGGCTATATTTGTTACATTGCAGAGCTTAAATCAAATTCTGAAGATTCCAACTACTAGGCTTCGTATAGCTATCTGGCAATAAGAAGTTTAAATTGCACTTTCAAGTCATTTAAAATCCAATTAAGTTGTTTTAAAGGAATAATTCCAATTATTTAATAGGTGGGGGTACTTCTTCTTCATTTCCTCCTCAGCTTCCCAGGTCATTTTCTCGATGTTGTTATTTCGCCATAACACTTTCACGGAAGCCACTTCTTTAGTTTGAAGCTTTCTTACCTGCCGATCTAAAATAGCTACTGGTACCTCTGCATAAGATAAGTCTTCATCAATGTGAATATCCTCCATGGGCGTAATACGTGAAGGATCTCCAATGCACTTCCGCAACATAGATACATGAAACATAGGATGGACTGTTTCCAATTCTGAAGGCAAATCAAGATCGTACTCCACCCTACCAATCCTCTGAATAATCTTATACGGTCCAACATACCTGGGGCTGAGCTTCCCCTTCTTTCCAAATCGCATGACGCCCTTCATAGGCGATACTTTCAGGAAAACCCAATCTTCTACATCAAACTCTAAGTCTCGTCGTCGAACATCTGCATAAGACTT